ATATGCAAATTTTAAAACCTGTGTGTGCATGGAAAAAATTTCCAAAAATGCAGTAAACATTACTTAAGTATCCTAGGTTATTTATACATATCTCTATTTTAACATAGGATTTCTCTCTCTCAACCAGAGGTGCCTCAATAGCAGGGACCAGACATAATAAATTCTGGCTTTATCTGATTTTGGTGAAACTTAAACAGGATGCAGCATATAATGAGATATGGCTATTATAATTTACCATTTCCAAATCAGACAGAAACTTACTGAGTTATGTCTGGCCGCATCATCATCAATGGGTTCACTATATGACCTTTTTCTTCAAAGTCATTGCATCTGTTTTTCAGACCAAAGCCAACAGATCTTCAGCAGATAGCTTCAAACCCCATTGACCATGACTGAAACTTTGCTACTCTTTGATATGTCATCCTCAACCACCATTATTCATTCCCTCAATTACCCACACATGCAAAGTTCTGAGATGTTCAATTTGCAACCTATGCAGTCACTGTGGATGCAATCACAATGAAATTTTTGATAGGCCTTGTTGAGGCAAAACCATCTATCAATCCCAAAGATGCTGTGGCAGCACTAAAAAATAAATTTGGTACTAACAAGGACAGTAGTGATACTAGTAGTAGCCTTCAGCTAGAACAGAAGATCAAGAACAAGGTTTCCAACTTTAAACAGATAACAAAGAAAGGTAGTATAATTTGATTTGAGAATAAAATAAAAATATAATCAATTAGTGTGTGTGTGTGATCATTGCAGTTAAGGTGGTGTTGGCACTTCAAAACCTTGTCTCTCCTAGACTGAAATACTTTACTATCATACGGCTTGCATATTTCGATACAGCAGATTACAGACTTTCCAATAGTATATGCAGCATCTACAAGAAATAATTACTGGAACTTCTTGTTCCTTGTCCTGCCATCCAAAAACAATTCTAAGTCCAAAAGGATTACCTGAAATCTAGTCATAGTTTAACTTCTGGATAACAGGTTTTGATTATTTTCTGAATTTGAGGTCTAAAAAGGGTAATCTGCATCCTTACCATAGACATTAAAAGATTTAATGGACACCTTGAAACACTACATGGTTTCTTAGCAGGTGCATTTGACAATCTAAAAATTATGTTTTATTGTTATTTCAAAATTAAAGGGGAAAAAAAAAGTCACCATTTTCAATTTGTTTTGTAAAAGAAGTGATTTAAAAATTAACATAAAAGTAATTAAAACATACGTCACATTCTGTTAGAGAGGTTCAGCACCAGGTTTCAAACAGTCTAGCATAAGGTTGTTAAAGAAGATGCAAAAGCTAGTAAAATATTATTCATTACTATTATTATTATTATTCAGTCTGTTGATTTGTGGGTCATATGCAGGTATACCTATTGTGACTGTAAAGACTCTTTAAATTGACAAAGCCTTGAACAAATATAGGAGTTACAAGGAGTATCTGTGAGATTTGTTTAACTTTTGTGCTTCTGTTAAACTACATTCATTCTCCACTGTACATTATGATGCAAGTATCTTAGAAAAATGGCTTCTTTAAAACAATGACAGTGAAAAGTTTGAAATGAAGTTAGGACCAAAAAAATGGCAGGAACTACATACTAGAAACACAGGTAACAGGATCAAAACCAATGAGATCCCTGTCATCCAGTGATTTTGGTTCAGGCTGTAACACAGGTGGAGGCAAGTCACTTGGAACAGGCTGATTTAGAAGGTCGGCACTTCCATCTGGCTTTTTAGTTAACTGTAACACTGCATAAGAAAGAAAACAGTAGAAAATAATAAACTTCTCAGTAATCATATTCAGAAGTAACCTATATCTCCACGAGCCCGTTTAACTTACAAACAAATATTTCTCTTCTAACACATTCACGCAAGTAGCTAGCCATAAGACTGGGAAATTTCTCCTTCTAAATCCATGCTAGAATAAATGTCAGCAATTAATAAAGTAGAAAATTGGAACAATGGCTATAAACTGAAGGAATGGGTGAAATTTTGTTATGATATTTTTAACAAGCACTGTCAAATAAATTATGTTCATATGAAAACACCTGTAGTCCTCCTTCCTTCAGTTCTCATAGAATGGTGACACAGACATACTAGTACCTCTTCTTACTAATTTGTGCCTATTTAACTAATACCACAAAACATCTAATCTTTTTTCTGTCTACAATCAAAAGTACTAACAACTCACTAGAAGACAGATTAAAAATGAGTGAAAATTCTAGCCATTACAAAATAGATACCAAAAATTGTAATATATAAAACTGTATCTCTTAAGACCCTGCTTTAAAAATTGTTCTACTGAATATACAAGACCTTCTTTCATGGATTTCTTATTAAAAAAACATTTATATATTTGTGTGGCGTATCACCACTGTATGGAGAGTGAATCATACTTTGGGAAGTTTCTATTTTATATATTCTGAGTAAATTACATAAACAATTAGGAAAAATTAGCAGCAGCAGATCTGATGATAAGAAAATAAGAGAATTTTTGGCCTGGTTAAGTCACAAACTCAGGGTTACTTATTCTTAAAAAATTACAAGTCAAAAAGAACATGCATCTTAAACAGGAATATTTTAGATTTTACCTTTTTCTTCATACATAGCTCTCTTTCTATGCACCTGTGTTACCGAAAAAGTCTCACTCCTGGCATCAGGCAATAAAGGGAAGGGAGAACCTACAACAGAAGCAAGCATTTACAAACTTTATAAGAAATTATTAAATTTAAGATTAAATCGTCTCTCAAAATATCAATGCAAAACTTTTACAGAACTAGGCTGCATGTGTAGTTATTCAAAAAAGGAAGAATATATCCTTTATGGATTTGACAATAAAATAATGTCAAACACAGAACGTGATCTGAACAACTACTAATGAAATACAGCTTTGAAACTAGCTACAGGCAAAGTTTAAATATACCATTGAATGGAGCAGATTATAAACTATTTATGTCAATGTAGAGTGAATAAAGTAAAGTGAGAAATAATTTATGGATTCGTGGAAAAATAATTGAATATAGCTCCTGCAAAAAACAACAATGGAAAGTAGCAAGAAGCTCAGAAGACTTAGGGAAAAACCACAGATCTGGAATTGACTGATTAAACTTTTACACATTAACTTGAAAACAAAAACATAACCAAAAAATAACTGTAATCAAATTTACAGAGAACTAAATTATATGATACAGACTATCTGTGTCACAAAGAGTACAAAAACTGTATTCAGAATAAGTGATAAAAACTGTATTCAAAACAAGAAGTAACAAAAGTTGTGTTCAGATCAAAAAAGTAGCAAAAGTTGTGTTAAGATAAAAAAAGTAACAAAAGTTGTGTTCAGATAAAAAGTAATGAAAGCTGTGTTCAGAGCAAGAAGTAACAAAAACTGTGTTCAGAGCAAGAAGTAACAAAAGCTGTGTTCTGAACAAGAAGTAACAAAAGTTGTGTTTGGAGCAAGAAGTAACAAAAGTTGTGTTCAGAACAAAAAGTAACAAAAACTGTGTTCAGAAGAAGAAGTAACAAAAACTGTGTTCAGAAGAAGAAGTCACAAAAGCTGTGATCAGAACAAGAAGTCACAAAAGCTGTGATCAGAACAAGAAGTAGCAAAAGCTGTGTTCAGAAGAAGTAGTAACAAAAATGTTATAGTTTTTATAAGTACACCTGAAAGAATAATGCTTATATCTGTTTGTTTGTTTTTTGAATTTCCCCCAAAGCTACATGAGGGCTATCTGCGCTAGCCATCCCTAATTTAGCAGTGTAAGACTAGAGGGAAGGCAGCTAGTCATCACCACCCGCTGCTAACTCTTGGGCTACTCTTTTACCAACAAATAGTGAGATTGACCATCCCATTATAACACCCCCATGGCTGAAAGGGCGAACATGTTTGGTGGGACGGGAATTCGAACCCGTGACTCTCAGATTGCGAGTCGAGCGCCCTAACCACCTGGCCATGCTGGGCCTGCTTATAGTAAAGGAAGACAGAAAATCATACAGCCGTACCTGCTATTTCCTTCTTGATAGCCAGAATTCGTTTTTTACGACGACCTTGAATAGTAATATAATCAGAAAAGTCTTGTGCCATGGAGAGGACACTGGCATAACCATAAAGTGCAGGACGTATTGGTACTCGATAACGTCGAAAAAATGCTTTTTCAAAGTGCTGCAATGACATTTTCCCTCCACTTTCCTGAATAAGAATTACCACATCTCTGGCTAACATTTGTTGGGGTGCTAACCTAATATGTTCTCCATCGACCTACATCCCGAAAAAAAAATGTTTTCTGATAATTCCACACCAGATAAAAACTGTGCTTAATAGAAACCAGAGAGAAAATCTTCAACATATTCAATTTAAAAAATAACCTTCCAAGCATTAGTTTATAGTACATTTTAACATGGATTGGCATGTGTTTTTTTTTTTTACATATTAGTGATATGTTAACAGCACAGATGTGTATCCTTTTTAAATATTTGAACAATGTTGCTTGTTGGTTTTTTAAAGTTTATATTTGCTTTCAGAGTGAAAGTTTAATAACACAATAAAAATATACATTTAGAAAATGTTAACAGATGATCTTAATGCATTACATACAGTGAAATGGGAAAAGAGACAATTAACTTTTGAAGCTGTTTTTTCTTGTTTAGTCATAAAAAAATAACTATTATTAGAATCCTTCTTTACTTAAATTGGACAAATAGCTATAGTGATATTAAAACTTTTCGTAATTCTGATTCTGAGTGTAATTATATTAATTATCCAAACTATTCTTGCTCCTCTAGAAAACTGTCATACAGACTGCTAACATTGAGAAACCATTGTATCTGAATTTTAGTTACACAGAAGAAAAAAAAAGATATATAATTTTTATAAATTATTTGAAATGACAAATTTTAATTGCATGGATATCATGCTCATAATGTTTATTTAACAACAGGACATTAATACCAGCTTAAATCTTAAGAAAGTAGAATTTACCTGAACAACATCCTGCAGTTCTTGTTGCAATAATGATACGTGTAAATACTGACCAAAGCGATGAGAGAACTGACTACATAAATCATTCATACTCATTTTGCCATTGGGTTGTTCCATTAATAGCCTGCAGACCTTCAGAGACATCTCCTTGATAAAGGCTCTGTTCACTGGCACCACCATAACACCACATGGTGTAGGCAACATCTAGATTGAATATGTAAAGTAAACTTTTAAAAATTTAGTTTTAAATAATGATTTCTTTGTCAATATGACAAAATGGTGTATACATTATTGTAATGGTTCTCTATAGTCTACTGTTGTGTCAGTGCTTATTTTACAGTGTTTTTATCATGTAATTTATACATTGTTTCTGTATTTAACTGGTTATTTAGTATGCTGAAATGAAATGTAATCTCTATCCTGGTAAAGGTAAAAAAACTGATATTCCTAAAATAAATTTGAGTATTTTATCATAGATAATGTCTTTTTTTTTAAAACTATTCTTAAGTATAAAATATGTATATAAAAAATTTCAGGTTGTTTTGCCACAGAAAGGATGGTGAATAAATACTTTTTGCATTTATTTTTCAGTAATATATTTTTTCTTAACATCACTATTTATTTAAATTGTAATTTTCCTGCATTTAGACTAAGTAAACATAAAGAAAATGGTTTCTTTGATTTTCTTGTTCTGTATCCATGTGACCAAATTAATTTCAAAAAAGAAAGATTTAAGTATAGGTAAGAAATTATTTAACCCTTTTCACACAGGGTTTTGAATGACTTTGTAACCACCAGATAACCATGAAAATATACATACTATGGCTCTGAATTTACTAAAAGCATCCTCATTAAATTTGGTAAGCTTTTATTACACATTACAAGTCTGTTGTACACAGAAAATCAGTTTTTAATTTAGAATTTTTATCCAAGATTTGTCTGTGAATTTACTTTAATCAATCTGACTCAGACTCTGACTAGTTTGAATGAAAGGTGATTTTCATGTTAAGAATAAAAATATTTTTTTCATCATATGCTTTCCATATTTTATTTATATAACCTCTAGAACTTCCTAAATAAATATCAAAATTTTTTTTTCACTGAAACATAACATTTTGTCTGTTATTTTCTTTAATCAAACATTGTATAAGGGCTTGGTCCATTTGACTAACCTTGTAACCACCACATATTAATACAAAATAAATCTAAATTACTATTTTTCTTTCAAGAATGATTGCATACTGTAACAGCTAATTAGTTATTTATCCTAAAATCTTCAGCCCTATATCTCTTTCACAACTATTTTCATTTAATTTTATTGTTCTATTGCTCTTTGAACCATGTCTAACTACTAAACAACCTTTAGAATGCAATAAAACACCAGGTGAAAATATTGCTCAAGTTACAGTAAACAAAATATCAAATTACATCATGCATAAGGAGCTTGCACATATTCCTTGCTTAGGAATTTTATTATCTAACCAAATAAATTTCTAATTTTTACATTTTAATATAATTTTATATCAATAAATAAAAAATCTGCAAAAAAACACTAATTTTAATACTTGTGGGTCTTGTACTTTTTTTGCAGTTGAAGTCTCAATTAAAATTAACCATACTTTTTTGTAGGTTGTTGTTAGTACTTCATAAATTTGTTTTTCATTTCAAATATTCAATTTAGAATACCAAATAATAATATGTGTAAAGAATACAATGTCCTATAGCTATTATAATTTGTCTTTTTAATTAATTATTCCTTTGGCTGGTGAAGGATTGTCATTGTACCATGTTATAACTTTTATATCACCAGCTCTTTCCTTCACCTTCATAGACCTTTTATGTATGATTTAGGTCATTATACTGTGGAAGTTTAAAGCCAAAGCCAACTAAATACCACTTGTGGGCATTGTGTGACATATCAGAAAATTGTGACATTATTCTTATTTCATAGTATTGTTTATTTTTACAATATTTTACTGTTCTATTTACACACACACACTTGCTTAAAACTTCTTTTGGTCATGGTTCCACACAAAAACTCTCAAATTTTCCAAATAGCTCAAATTTTATTTGGCTATTGTCAGCCGATTGTCCCATTAGTTCTAACAATACTTATAATCCTTTGTAAGCTTAAGTGCTTGAAAATGTTCACATGTGAAATGCTAAGTTCTCTTGACTGCAGCTTTTCACTTTCTTCTTCCAGCCAACCCTCATAAAGAGTTCTACACGTGATATTAACTCCATACATATTCTTTATTTATACACTTATTTCTAAGGTTTGTCTGAATCAACTTGATGCTGAAATTCTTTGAATATCATCTGGGTGATTGTTTGAAACATCTCTTATTAAACTTTAAACTCATAGGTATAGCAACATATTGTAATGTTCTTTGAATTGCAGCTTCAAAACTATAAATTGTTTTAGCCAATTCCTTATCTTTCTCAGTTAAGAAATCTTTGGAAGATGCTTGCATTTTACTTTTCATTCACTATAGTTAGCTCAACATAAAGAAGAGTGCTGGTGATCTAAAACAGGCAGGAAGAATAAATGTACCATTATTTAAATACATAACAAAGGCTTAAGTCCACTCAATCCACACTTAATGGTGCTCAATAGCTTATGTTCAGTTATCTTGTAATAATATTTATAAAATAATAATTTTTATTGTAATTACAAAATAAAGATCATGTCATTACACAGCAAGAGGGACAATGTTCAAATTCTGATAACAGTGATTCTCACTCTTGCAGATTTTTTAAAATGTAAAATCAGTGTTTTTATTGTTGGACCAAAACTGTATGCATTCATTCTGAAATCTTTGAGCTGTAGACACTCATGAAGATAAACTAAATGCATAGATTTATATCTTTATTTCTTACAATGAAAGTTTTATAAATATGAGATCAAATGTTCAAGTAATTCAGCACTAATTTTCATTTTAGGGGTTGTGTGTGTCAAACTAAAATCAGAAATAGCATTTGTAATTTTTAGAAAATTTCCTCAAAACTAACAATGAAGCTTACAAGAGAAAAAAAATAATCGAAATCTGTAATTTTTATCACATTTTAAAAATTTTGATCTTGGTAATTATATAAATTTGGAAATGGCATTGACATACAACTAGTGTGCATCAGTACCATTAATATGTTTTCAAGAAAGAACAAGAATAATTTGACCTTAACAGCATGATTTAGTTTGGAAAGTAAATCTTGAAGGCTACTGAATCCATAGTCCTGAAAGTTCAAGAACTGGTTATGCACTCTGAAGTAGGCCTCAGGCAAATTAGTAAAAGGAATCATCCGTTGAGAGGTTTCCTCTAGCACTGCAACTATTTTAACAGCTACGTCATTTAGTACTTCTTGACGATCTCTCAACAAAAGTACTTTATCATCACCCACATCCTTCAACTAAAATAAAAACAAATAAATTAATAATGTTAATTGTACTAGACATATATGTGTGAAATAATGTATTAGTATAACAGTGAATAAGAATTTATAATACATAATTAATAAAATTTCCTATCAATAAAATATTTAAGTTTTTCTGAAGTTATTATAAAACCAAAAAATACAAAATACAGATAATATATTATAATATCAAGTATTCAAAAAACCTAAACCCACAATTATGTTAAGCTTACACACTTAAAAATGTTTAGCCCAAATATCTAATGACATTTACCATTACTATTTAGTTTCAAGTACAAGAACCTCATATCTTTTCAAATATATTAATTTCTTAATTGTAATATCTATAAAATCATCACAACTACTAGTAGGCATAGTTTTAGAATACTCAAAACATTAGAAAACAAGAAGGCCACAACCAAAACTGGTTATTGATTTATCATTTACACAAATAACAAAGCCAACTTGCTCAGTGAGAAAGCAAGTTTCTTTCTTTACTTATTTCATTACAGTATAACATTTATAGATAAAATTGTACTACAACAAAGGTTAATAAATATTATTATATCTGTTATCTAAAACTAAAACCAGACAGACATAATATATTTTCTGAAGTAATGCATCAATCATCTGGTATATCTCCGTATGATTTTTTTGATAATATAAAATTAACTGTTCCTGTATATTCTATAACAACATTATTCATTTTGTCCACATTCATTTAGATACATAACAACAAGTAATATCTCTCTTACAAGATTTATTAAGTTTTGGCAAAAATATTGTACATAAATTGGTCTACACTCATTTCCCATTTTCTTGATTTCAATCCACACACTTAATACATCATTGGATAAATACAAATATTATTACCAAGAGTAAGTGACAAAACAACGAGAAGAAGAAGAACATTAGGATGCTACTATAGCGTGCGATCTACCTCAGTATCCGTAGTCTACTAAGACCTTTTACGCTATAGCCTGAGGTCTACTGAGACTTTTACACTACAGCGTGCGGTATGATCATCATATAAACAAAACATATAAAGATGTTGAATAATAGCAGTCTACACTGCTAAATAATCTATTAATGATATTAATGATGAATAATAACAGTCTACCTGGGATATTTACACTGCTAAATGATTTATTAATGATCATTATTATGATAAAAATCAAAATTGTGCTACACAATTATTTTATGTAGCGCAATTATGTAGATCCAGTGACAGGAGCAAACATGCAAGTGATTGAACGATCATGGTTGGATGTGAAAATACTCATTCTAAAGAAAATGAGAGGCATTAGCAGTGAGCTGTTTCAATCATACCTTGATCACAATTGCTGGAAAGTGCTAAGAAAAAGATGCAGATGATTTATTTGTGGCATATTTAAATGATATATATATCTCATTAAAGGATTTAAATGTAAATCATTTGTTAAGGATGTGGTACGAAGTGTATGTCATTAAATATAATTATGTAGCACAATTTATATGTTTTGTTTATATGATGATCATACTGCAAACTATAGTGTGAAAGCCTTGGTAAACTGTACACTATAGTGTAAAATTCCTGGTAGACTGCACACTATAGTTGCACCAACATTAGCTTTCAAAATATATCTCATTAACTCTGGTAAACATATCTTAAATCTGCTGATCTTTTACACTGCAAAACTTTCAATATGAAAATTATCAATAGAAAAATGCCAAGCTTCATTCAATATCAAATACAGACAAACCTAGGAAGAGGAAGACCACTGAAAGTTACATCCAAAAATACTGAAAAACAGCAAAGGTACCCAACTGATTAATTAATGCATTCTAACTTTTACATATTATTTTTTTTACACTGCATACATACTCTTAGTTAGAATGGTGTATTAGATTCACTAAATTATTTAATGAGATAGTTTTAGTTCTGATATATATATATATATATAGTAAGTTATTTTATTACAGAAGTACTATTAGTTAATTAA